GAGAAAATCCAGCAAGAGGTAATTTCAATTTTGCATCGTAAGTTATTTGAAAAATATTGTAAAATGTAAACACTTCCTTAACACTATTACATGCATTGTAATTCTTCAATATTGCATGTCTTTTGTGTTTTTTGAGAACACACTTGAACCAACATGTCTGTTTTTCAGATTGCCATGGCAACACCTCTAATCTCAGACAAGCACGACATATCTGTTCTAATGAGGGAATACAATGATGATGATGAAATTTACCAAAAAAAGATCAAGGTATTATTGCTTTTCTCCATCGGTGATTTTTTTTATTTTCTCTTCACAATCCATGTCTTTGCTGATGACGACTCTTCATAGTCGTCATTAAATTCACAAGCAGAGAGTAATAGACTCTTTAAGATTCCGAAAGTGCCAAGACATCACTACTGGCTTGAATGCATTTCTTGAATGGGTTGACAAGTGCCTGCACAAATTATATACGATGAAAATGAAGCAGAAATACACTTTTCTTACGTGCCCCTTTCTCATGTACGTTTCGTGGGTGTAAAAACCGATGAGTCGATGTATTCGTCATTCCAATAACGGTTAATGATGTTGATCGTATCCGTAGTGAATGTGTCGAATGTGCTGGGCATGCCAATTTATCCTGCCGAGTCATGGAGCAGCTGCGTAATGCATCTGGCAAAGCAGACATCGAGAAGCGAAATTATTTTTTGAGTCACCAAAGACTTCATCGCTTCTGGCTAGTTACTTCTAATGTTATAGAGCACTGATTTGGCTGCAGTTGGAATACAGTGCTCATGTCTTGGATGTAGCCCCTATTTCATATATTTCAAGCAATTCAATTGCTTCATGATCCTACACTCACAGATTCACTCCAATCACTTACCGTCGTCATTCAGTTGCTTTCGTATCGCTTTTATTACTAAGACCGAAGTAATTGCTTGCGTGAACTGCACAGCTTGATGCCTCAACACATTTTTGCGGACTCGTTCTGCCAGATAGACTGGTTCTGCTTGTGCATACCTTATTGTAGATTGCATATTCTTCTTTCCTCTGGCGGCTTGGCTTTGGAATTCCCACATCTCTCTATCCAGGATTCCTATAACCTCAATTAATTGGCGCTCTGTATGTTGCTGCCTGCGTCACATTATTCAGACCTTTAAGTATACGCTCAGCATGTGATTATCGAAACAAAACCATACATTTGCAAAACCGTTAATGGTACGAATCGTTGGATTTTTTAAATGTACAGTATAATGTGTTTTCAACATTGTTGGCTTGCGATTGAATTCTACAGGACTTGTGCAACAAATACTCTCACATCAGGATGACGCGACGGGACGGCAACTGTTTCTACCGTGCCTTTGGCTTTGCACATCTCGAGGCACTGATGGACAACCCGAAAGATCTTCAAAAGTTTGTTAACTTTAGACCTCACGTCTGAGGAAGCCTGAGATCGAACCTTTTGTTTTCCCGCATCAACTGTGTATACATGCACGATGCTTTTTTTGAGAGTTTTATGTTAAAACGTCTTTAGTAACTTTACGTGAAAGAAACCCTGTAATTCAATATTTCAACAGGTTTAAGACTGTTGCAGCAAAAAGTAAAGATGAGCTGGTGTCGTTGGGTTTCCCTGAATTCACGATAGAAGATTTTCACAGTACGGTGAGTTTGGTAGACTGTTTTGTGATGAGAAAAAAACACTTTGAAAGTACATTTTTTGCGGTTACACTAAAGCAAATAATATTGTCACTCTATATGTTGTTGACCAACTTTGCAATTTGCTGTTGTCCTTCATGTTTGTAGTTCTTGGATATCATCGAGATGGTAGAGAAGCAGGCATCTCTCGAGGATGTGCGTGGATCCTTCAACGAGCAGAGCACATCCGACTACGTTGTTGTCTACCTACGCCTTCTTACCTCTGGCTACCTCCAGAAAGAATCTATATTTTTTGAACACTTTGTGGAGGGTGGACGGACTGTTAAGGAGTTCTGCAGCCAGGTTCGCAGAAACAACTGTGTCGATTGACATTGATGGGTCCGATTTTCACACAAAAACATGGCGCTCTTAATGTTTTCTGTTACGACAATTGTGCAGGAATATTTTAAAGTCAAGTTTCAAATATCTTGGTGCTCATCTGACAAGTGGCATTTTGGGTTTTTAGCTGTACTCTGTAGTTAAAAAGCTTAAATGTTCAATATTTTGATAATTAAAAAAAAAACGCTCAATTCATTGGTTGTGTTTTTAGTTGTTTGGAATCTCAAGTGGAAAAAAATATCTGACATTCTCAGAAAAACGCCTAACCATCCATATGTCTAATTGTCTTAGTTCATGAAGGGCATTGTGCAAATATAAATTACGTGAAGCTCTTGTAATACGTTGAAATTGAGTGTAATACAATACTAAATGCAGCTGATAAATTCGCAGGTGTGATATATTTAATACCGCTTCAAAATGACATTTCTACGTAGAAACAAGCATGATAGCATTACATTTTTCTCGCTGATGTTATACACTATAGCTGTAGTAAATTCTAAGATTGGAAACCATACGGTGATGGGTTTTTTTCTTCCTCCCCATTGATTGCAAGGGCCATTTCCGTGATCGATCGTTGTCGTTGTGGCAGGAGGTTGAGCCGATGGCTAAGGAGAGCGACCACATCCACATCATTGCACTGGCGCAGGCCCTCGGTGTCTCCATCCGCGTGGAGTACATGGACCGGGGAGAAGGCGGCTCTGTCAACCATCATGACTTCCCCGAGGGTACAGAGCCCTTTGTCTACCTGCTGTACCGCCCAGGACACTACGACATCCTTTACAAGTGCTAGACAAGTGTGCGTGTAGCCCCCATGCGTTGTGTGCGCGCGCGTAACAACATGTGAAAAGTTTGTGTTGCACGTATGCCCCAACCTTCAGTTCCAACTTCTGAGCATTAAGGCATCCTGTTACTGGTTTTAAAATGCATAATTTTGCAATTTTGTTTCATCCATGGTAACAGATAAAAACAAATAGAAAGTTTAATCCTTGGTTCCTTTTTGCCTTGTATTGTAAGAGGGTGATTTAACATCCTGTACAAATACTGTAACCACGACAAAACATGCCGCATACATAAATATACCAACTTAGATCTTGCCTGTTGTGCTGCCTTTTTAATTGCTACTTGCTGTAAAAATCCCCTTTTCTGAAATTCATGGTGTTTCTGTTTAATGTGCTTCTGATGTAATGTGCTTCAATGTACATAACCTTACCCTTCATTGATAAAGTAATGCATACATTGCACATTTTCTGAGTTGTATTTAAGGGTGATATTGCCCAAACAGGTAAGAAACTACAGGTATGTTTTTTGGAATCTGTCCTCAACAGATGTTAATATTCATTTCTAATTAAACCGTTTGCCATTGCAGTCATTTTCATTGAAATACCTCGACAGTTCACAATAAATTAGGGAAAGTTTTCAGCACACTTATTTAACGTCTTGTGTGTTCTTGAATTGCCAAGTGTAACTTATTTTCACATCTGTACCCCTGATTATTTGTTAGCCTTGTGAACATGTTGCTACATCTGAGGCAAATGTGTAAATAATGGGGTGGGGAGGGTGTGCTGGTTGGATTGATCACGATCATTTATCCAGGAAATGCATTGCCGAGTCTCAAGACTCTTTTTCAGGAGGGTCCTGCCAAGATTTCTTGTTGGTGATGTTATATAAGTCACAAACAATGCTTTTTAATTGGTTTATGCTTTTGAGATGGGTTGTAATTTGATGAGCTTAACAGCATTCCATCTTTAAAAGCATATGGTTAAAATGTAGAAATATGGTAATAAACTGTTAATCTCTGGCTTCTAAAAGCTGAATAATGGTGCATTTACAATTACCGTGTAATAAAATAAATTGATATTCTTGAAAAGCAAAGAAAATATTGTCTATGTAACACGTATTTTAAAATATGAGCGTGTACAAAGTTGAACACCTGAGGTGACTGCTTGGTAAAGTAAATTTTTTAAACAATATTGTAAAGTGTTCACACGTCTTCACCAACTAAAGGCTTTAATTGATCCAGGTTTGCCAAATACATTTTACAAAACATAAAAAAACCCCTACAGAATGGCTCATTACAATAGTGTCATTGTTGAACTGGCCAGATTTGGTGGAATATATCATGGGGAGCATGGGTGTGGACACCCAGAAAGGTGCGTGTAAGTGGCCAGGATGATTTTGCTCGTTTAAATGGTTGTAAAATCTTTCAATGATTTTTATTTTTTTGTTAAAAGATTTAATTTATCATAAAACCATCTGTAAATGATTGAATGAGATCATCTCTGTATTCTTCCCAAAACAGATTGTCACTCAAGCAACATTAATGTTCAGATTATTTGTACCAACACATGCTTGTGCATGGAAAGCACATCGTCTTAAGCATCATTTCAGGCATCCTGCGTATTTTTCTTTGTGCTTGGGATATCCACCAGCCAACAGTAATGCTCAAAACATTGCACATTTTTTGTAAAATATTGATCCAGTGCGTGCTCGTTCCTCGTGCGCGCGCGTGTGGTTCATCTTTGCGCAGCTCATTTACACGTGGACCGATAGGTGATGCAGCAGTTATGGGTCTTTTTCTGTTGGGTTTTCGTTTAGCGGTGTTGGCCAACTTTGCAACCAAATTCCATGGTTACCACGCATTAAAGACTGTTTTCAATTCAACATGTACGATGGAATCAAGTGTTCTAATTTAAATGTGGGTCAGCTGGTCATTACCTTAAAAAGCCAACGCCTTTGAAACTGAATTCTTAAGCAATTCTACCTTTCTGTCTATAGTTAATTTTATATTCAGCCTCGTAAGCAAAATAAAGGTATGACAATAAAGAAGATGCAGACGTTTGAATTTGCGTGTAATTTCCCAAACGGTTCAAGTTCACAGTCTCCCAAACCAGCCAAGTATGTTTTGGTTCTTGAGGTATGATGGGCAGCTTTGTCTTCATACAAGATATCTGCACTCTACAAACAGGTTATACGTTGTCATAACTTTCATTTTATTACGAAGCCTCCAATAAAAAGTTTTGTTTCTACCAGAATGCATGTTGTGTGCTCACTTTTATTTAAAATGAGAGGGGGGGGGCAACTTCTGGTCATTTTAGATGTGTAAAAATCATGGTTACAATTACGAAGTGATGCAAGTGTATCAAATCACATTTTCATGTTTGGGGAAAAAACGTAATAAAAGTATGTTAATGTTTAAATGACATTTTCAAACATTTGGACAAGGGTCAACAATGTTTTGCGAAGCTCTTTGAGAATGTGAAGTGTGTAATCACTGCTTGGGATCTGCCACTCGGCCCATGAAGATCACAGCTCTCGTTTTCTCATCGTATATGAGCACCACAAAAGGCCTATCCACGGTCACCGTTGGTGGCATGGATATGGGCATGATGCCAACGACGGTCTCGGCCTTGGCCTCTGTCCCTTCCTCGTTCACATGCAACACTGACTTATGAGTGATCTGGAAGAAAAGAGACGTGGGTGCTTAGCAACAATGTCCTCGGTTCAACTCTTTTTATCAACCGTTTGTAATCAGACAATCTGGTCATGGATTGCGTGTCATTGTGCCTTGGCAATTTCACAAGAGACATGCTACTTTTAAATTAAAGTATAAATTAACCTGAGTTATAACTAATAGCATCTGCCAAGTTGGTTGTGGACATTCCTAGAATGCCTAATTTGAACAGGTTTTGTGTATAAATGGTGAAAGTGTCCCCCCATTCTTGAGTTATAAGACATGAATGCCTTGTTTCCACCGCTAGTGGGGACCATGCCGTGTTAATTCGCATTCTCAGCTGGGCTCAGGAGCTGGTGTGTTTGAAATCCCAGCCTGGCCACACTGAATCCCATGGTATTCCAGAACCCAAAAGCTTGTGGGGTCATTCCATACACTTCCAGACAGGGCACGCCTGGGACAGTTTTACGTCACGGCGTCAACACGTGGCGGGATGCATTTGCCGTGACGCCATTAGCTTTGCATTTCGTCAGCTAAAAATTCATTCGTACTACAAATTACAAAAATGATATCCCGACTCTCATCCCGTGCCTGCACCGAGCAAAGGAAAGTGATTAGGGGAGGAGTACAGGCCTGACCCTTGAGGTGAGGGGATTGGTGGGTTGTGGAGACCAGGACCTGGGCCCTGGTGTTGTTTCCGGACCAATCTGGGCCATTCCTGTGCTGCAAGAGTCTAGTTTCCAGTGGTCATGGAAATAAGGAATCAATTGGGCAGCTACTAAAACTTTACAGGCTCTGCACATTTGGGGAATGTGACATCATGAAAAAACTGAAGACATTTTACGGAAAGGCGAGCTCACATTGCAAACTTTTGTAACACGGCAAGAGAAGATACTCCGCTCTCTAAGAACAACTGAGCTTCACATGGCTCTGAATGCACCCTTGTTGCTACACGTGAGAACAGGTATGCTGTTTCCACAGCCACACGCCAGCTCACCTTGTCCACGTGTAGCTTCTGCATGCCGGTGATCCGAGACAAGTCTGCTCCGTAGCTGAACATGCTGGGCATCCCCATTGCACTCAGGTAGGCTTTCAGGTCATAGGACACGCTGATCTTGAACTTTGGAAGAGATAGCTGGACATAGTGGTTGCTGTAAGAGTTTAAATGTGTCAGGCCACTGTCGGTATTTTCACAGTCATGGCATGGGTTGGTCCCACATAGGCATTTACACATGTAACAGTGCAGTAGAAAACACTTTGTATAATTTCATTGTTTCTCACATTGCGGTTTTATATGTCATGCTGTTTTATTTATGGGAAGGACATTTATAAACGGCTATTCAGGAAAGTATTGACATTTACATCATAAAAGCCATTTTACTGATTAAACCTCATTATTCAACTGGTCAATTAACTTTGCTTGTTAGTAAAAACAAAACAAATGGGCTTTTTTAATTATTATTCAACGTAGCTTGTGCAGCACTGATGTGGAATATTTTCATAGTGGCTAGGAACCTTTCGAAAATTAGCTCTCGAGTCAACAATATGCTATGCGTGAAGAGGTACAAAAAGGTGTATATATTTTGGCCTCAAAGGACCGTTGCTTGCCGTCTGTAAATTCAATAGATCCATTGATCCGTATCACTTAAACCATAACAAAGGCTCCTCTATATTCTCGGTTCTTTCGGTAAAGTCACGTAAAAGGGAAACAATAAAATAATTACAACAAATATAATAAAATAATTACAACAAAAAATTATTTTATTGTTTCCCTTCTACGTGATTTTACCGAAAGAACCAAGAATATGAATCCCTGCAGTCACGAAAGCTTTAAATCAAAGGCTCCTCTGTAAAATGTGGAATTTGCAAGAATCAAAGACATTACACTTGTGAGATGAATTATGTAAGTAGACATACAACTCTGACAATCCACTGTTAGATGAAGGCCTCCCCATATAATTTGGGTTATGGGGTGGTTAACCATACTTCTGAAAAGGAAGCTATCAATTTGACGATTTTGCAACGAACGTTACACTCGTATGCACAGTCGGTGGATAAACGCTGCCCTCGACTCTGTGGACCAGAGATCAACTGAAAGGATCTCAGAGATAGCTTCGTGATACCTGGTTCTGCGGACCATTCTCTCACACCAAGGGTTGCACTACTCTGCAACAGACCCGAATGGATACTTCGTCTCATTACATGATACCAATAGCACAAATCGGGAAAAACATTGTTGGGGCTGGGTTGGGATACTAATAATACTAATTTGCTGATGTCATTGCACCTGCAATCATTGTGCTGATGTCGTACACTTGTCGTACCTGGGACCCAGCAGAGAGAGCCACTCCTCCAACTGCTCCTGGGAGACGCTCTCCTCCACCTTGGGCAGCTCCTCTGTCCTGTGCGGAACGATGACCAGCATACTCGCCCCGCCCTCATACGGCAGCTTGATGACTGTGGAGCGCAACTTGCGGTCCTGTGCGTAGCTGAGCTTGGCCCTCTGGTGCATTGTGGGCACCATCATCGAGTAGCTGCTGTTGACCCAGAAGCGGACGTTCTTCGTGAGGTCGGGTTCAAACTTGTTTGCCCACGATCCTGGTGACGAAAAATTCACATGGTCAGACCTTTGATATTTGTGTGCTGCAAAAGGAAGGAAGGAGAATCACACTTATTTGAAGCGCATCAGATCTCAGAAGCTAAGCGGGTTGAAGCTTGGATAGTACTTTGATATGTGATCACCATGCATAACCAGGTTGTGTGCAGTTGAATGCAGTGCAGTAAAATCCATTAGTGTATAGTAATACATACTATTATCTCGTCTGTACTCATCTTCACCAACCCACTGACCAGCGTGGTGAAGTATGTTTTAAAACCTCAGCAGTGGATTGGGGCCGTCCATAAATGACGTCACGCGATTTTGGACGATTTTTGACCCCCCCCCCCCTTCGTCACACGGCGTCACAAAAAGTCAGACCCCCCCTCAAATATGACGTCACAAAGCTCTGCCCCCCCCCCCCAGGTGCGTGACGTCATTTATGGACGGTCCCTTACGGAGCGTCTTGTTAATCCGGAGAAAGTCGACTCAATACCGTAACTACACTGTGTTGTTAAAATAAAATAAGACTACATTACGGTACATGTGTCGCGTAAAATGTTACCTCTTGTTTCATAGGGAGGCAGTTGGCTCCAGCAAATGTACGTCTGCCCGTTAGTCTTGAGGACACCTCCAAATTGCCACGAACACTACAAAACAATAAACCTACCGCTACGAAACTTTACCACACTGCTTACGAATGCCAGTATCCAAATCCGTATGGGGTTTTTTTTGGACAAGATTGGCAATAAATATGTATAAAAAAAAAGTTTCGTATATTTTTTAATATCTTTCGAAAAGGTTATTGTGCTGCTTTCCCAGCGAGTTTAGGTCGCGCGCTTTGAGCCCCCCTTAATTGAGGCTACCTTCGTAGACCGGTTTGCCAGTAACATCGTTTTTTAAAGCCATATTTGATTAAATCCACTGCTGAATGAATGGCTCCCACGCCATGTCGGTCATGGGGGTTATTTGACCAAACTTCACCACGCTTGTCAGTGCGGGTTGGTGAAGAGGGACTTTGCCTGCAACCGGTTCAGGTATTGCTCGCCACTTGATGGGAACCATGGCTGGGAATCGAACTCAGGATGCCGTGGTCGCAGCGCAGTGCTCGAACAACCGCGCCATCCCCATAGCTGTCAACCCACACAGTTTACCCCGTGTTCTTGTTCACGGAAATTGAGTTTTCAGGTCCGTACGGCAGGCGTTTATTTTTTGTGTTTCTCCCTTGAGATGGGATTTTGTAGGATGAACTTCGAGATTTATATGGACACGAGGCAACCAATAAGGTCTGAATTGGTCTATAAGGTCGGCACTGATAAGGGGTTGACAGGTATGCATCCCAGATTTCTATCGCTTGTTTAAAAAAAAACACAATGAGGTATAGTTTTACGATTAAAACGTAACTGAGAAGGTGGGGGGGGGGGAGAGCAATGGAGCTGGGTGGTACCTTTGAAATAAATGACATTGACGATCATGAGAGAGGTAGCCGTGTCCACGTCGGAGATGACATCCGTGAATTTCTTCGAGGTGACCTTCTCGATGTAAGCGTTCATGAGCTCCACCGCCTCCTTCGACTCGCCAAAGTCCACCGACCTCACGTTGCTCTTGAATAAGTGGGCGACCGTACGCGTGAACTGCCGGTACAGCCAGAGGCCCTTCTTGCTGAAGACCACGTTCTTGCCCATCAGCTCGAAACCCGCGCTTCTCCTGTAAAGGGCGCTGTTGAGCCTCGCGAAGTACTTCATGGACTTGGCCTTCTTCTTTCCATGCAGGAGCTCCTTGAAGCCGAGCGCCGTATCCAGCTCAGCCCGGGTGCTTCCGTTCGCGCCCGCGGCCACGACACCCAGCGCCGAGGCGATGCTCAGGGGCGAGAAGAAGATGTTGTCGGCCGGTCCCGCGCCTCCCAGCACCTGCTTGTAGAGCCTGAAGCCCAGACCGTTGACGGCAGAGGCGATGCGCTGAGTCTTGGACTTATACTTGTCCTTTCTACCCCTTCTGCCTTCGCCTCGGTGGGACTCCCTCTCGTCCCCTTTCTCCTCGGAACTGCCCTCTTCCGATGAGGCAGCGGGACTTTGGCCGGGCGCAAGCGGCTCGGGGTAGTCCCACGTCTCGTTGGACGCGAGAGGCTGCTCCGTGGCCTGGACGCTCAGGGGAGGTGGAATTAGATGGAAGGGCTGCATGTAGGGCCGATCGTCGTAGTCCTCTTCGCCCACGCATGGGGAGCAGAGAGCAGCACAGAACGCGAGGAGGAGGAGGATGAAGAGCTTCATCGCGGCACTTCACCACCACCGAACAACCAGCTACGGGCGAGCAGAGAGAGAAGGGCTTCTCGAACCTGAGGCATCACAGGGAGATGTTATTACAACGCGCGCGCGTGCGTGTGTGTGTGCGCGTGCGCCAGTGCTCGCTAACGGCACTTGCCCCAACAGTCTGCTAAGGCTATACCGGGTGGGGGTGGGGGGGTTCTTTGTCTTTGTCAGGGGCCGCAGCCACAGGTTATTATGGGGAGCGGCGGTGCAGCGGTTAGCGCTACGCTGTGCACACGAACCTGGCGGGTGACCCGTGTTCCATTCCCGCTCACGGACAATACCCAGTGACGATTATTTGAACAGGTTCTGGGCCTCCCCAAGGTCGACTCGACCTCAAATGAGTACCTGGTGCGGTGTGTAAACATCGCCACTGGGGAGACAAAGGTGGCCGAGCATGGTGCTGGCCACCCACCTCCCTCGTGTTGCCCTGCCCGCCTTCATAGGTGCTACTCGCTAACAGCACTTGCCCCAACAGTCTGTTCAGGCTATATGGGGGAGGGGATCTTTGTCACACGTGGTAAGCAGCGGGTGCCCTACCAGCGGAATGGTTGTGGAGCCTACAGACGCCTGAATCAGTGCTTAGCCTACTGCAGTGGTACCGGATGCGTTCCAAGAAAAGGCGCACAAAGCGAAACGGTTCGAGACAGCTGCCTTGCCGAGTCGCGCATACAATGACACACACAATGTCGTCACACGTCCAACCGCATATGTATGTTTAACTTCTCTCGCGCCGTACGTAGTCAACCGTGTTAATCGGAGGTGCGGGATATGAGTGAATTCAACCCGAATACCGAATAACAAAAATGTGGGTATAAATAGGTTAGCCACATTTACCCGAAGTCGCACCAACCGAACCCGCACAAAGCGAGGAAAGTATGTATTGCAAGTGCACCATCGTCATTTATTGCAGCTTGAAGAACAGAGAAATCGGCAGACTCAATGAACGCGTGACCACGTTCACACAGAGCGCTTGGCACGCCGCTCGTTTTACGAGCAAAGGCCGAGACCCCGTACACAGCGGAGACGGAGCGATGAAATCGTCTGGCTGTTGCCGGTGCGAGGTGGATTGACGATGCGTGGATGGGACCGTAACGGCGAGAGAGGAGGCGGTGGGTTTTGGCGAGGCTTGCCGAGGCTTTTCACTCAGCGGGTGGATCGATTATGTGGCTGATCGTGATGGAGAATACGCGCCTGCAATTGATAGGTTTTGTGGAACTGGTCGGGGTGTGGGGAAAAAAAGGTACCTGGCTCGTAATCGAGAAAATCCGTCTGTGCAGCAGCCTCGGTTTGTAGACGCCACGTGCGTGGACACGTGGCGCGTATTGCACGACTGCGTGGCGCAACACTGTCGGGTTTTGCTCGACCATTCTTCACCACGCGTACCTTCACCGGTTTAGATTTCACTCGCCACTGACGATCGGCGTGGCCGGGTGTCGAACTCGTGGTCTGACCAATGCGCCGTCGCTCTCCCCGCACATCGTCAATTCACAGTCACAAAGTCACTTTAAGATGTTTTTTCTTGTTCGTGTTTTTGGTTTTTTGTTTGTTGTGGTTGCACCAGATTCAAGAGCCGAATGGCTCACAGGGCTATACCAAAATAAACTGAACTGAACTGATGATAGATATTATTTGAAGCAAATTTTGAGATCGAACAGCTCTTATACGTTTCGCATTTATAGATAATAATAATAACATCGACGATAAAATAAAACACAAAAACACACGTTTACTGTAGTAGTCGCATATACATTGCTCCTTCAATAGACAGCTACTTGCGCGATAATGGCCAGGTGTATAGGCTTAACAAGAACAGCGCTGAGGTGCGTTGATGCTGGTGGGATGACAACCGCGCTTCGCATCATACTCACGAGCAGGAGGTGAGCCGAGTCAAATCCACTCCGTCTGCCGAGCCGACATACGCATTTATGTAAGGCACACACGCGACTCGAAAATGTCAATATTGTCTCTTTTGCTAATGTTGCATCTCTCAAAGTTAATTATTCACGCTGTGCCATCCTAGCCCCCCCGGGCAGACAACGGCCCTGACCCCTCGTCGTGAATATCACCACGTGGATGACTCCTCGGTCGCCCCACGCGCTGAATTCCCAGCGCAAGACGAATTGAATTCGCAAGATGTATAAATGCTACTGCATCTCAAGACGGTTGTGTTAGCTGCTGAAGGTCGTGACAGATTTGTTTTCTCATTCCCGTTGCTCCGTGACCTCCCCCCCTGTGCCGTTTCAGTTCTGCTGGAGTGTGCACCGATGCTTACTTTATTCAGGGCGACATTGGCACATGAAATAAAGATTGATTGAGAAAGAACGCCATATATACAGTATCCATTAATTATTGGAACGTTGAGGACAAACGGAGATTACAACGAACGCGTGTTTCGGCTATCCGCGGTTGACCTAATGAGGTCTGTTTTACGGAACATGGGCATGAAGTTTCGGCTATACGCGGTTGACCTAATGAGTTCTGTTTTACGGAACACGGGCATGATGTTTCGGCTATCCACGGTTGACCTAATGAGGTCTGTTTTATGGAACACGGGGATGGTGTTTCGCCTATCCACGGTTGACCTAATGAGGTCTGTTTTATGGAACACGGGGATGGTGTTTGGGCTATCCACGGTTGACCTAATGAGTTTTGTTTTACGGAACACGGGCATGATGTATCGGCTATCCACGGTTGACCTAATGAGTTCTGTTTTATGGAACACGGGGATGGTGTTTCGGCTATCCACGGTTGACCTAATGAGTTCTGTTTTATGGAACACGGGGATGGTGTTTCAGCTATACGCGGCTTGACGTTGATAAGATTTTTGCTAAGATGTTGCATGGGCTTGCGAGAGGTAAGAGTTGCTGCATCCGTTGGAAGGTGCATACTATGGTGTAAATGAATCGACTTTGAGAACGATGTATTTACCACGCAGGTTGTGTATGTTTTTTTCCCCGTGTGTTTTTTGTGCAGTAGTGTAAAACTAACCTTTTGCCCGTCCAAGGACGGGTGTATTGCAGTAAATCTGAAACTTGCAAGCGAAAAGCAGACAACGACGTGATATTCATTGCATCCATTCGTGTGCCATTTGTAAGGGCGCGGTGACACAGACTTATTTAATTTAAAGGTTATAATCCCTTGTTCATCACGACGTCCTTTTTACTTCGATGTCTCAACAGCGCTACGGAGATCACGTGACGTGAGGGTTCTTCCTTTGTAGTGAGGGTTGTGAGTTGACGCTGAGGAGTGGGGAGGAGGCGCCTCGCCCCCCCCCCATGTGGAGTGACGTCACCCGCTAATTATTATTAATGGCAGGGGGGGGTGTCCATTTGGAGGATGTCACCTATATTCTTTGGGTCTTACGGTAAAGTCACGTAGATAGGTTCAAATAAAATAACAAAATCTACGACGTTTCGATCGCAACACAAGCGGTCGCCCCTTTTCCTGATGACGACCGCTTGTGTTGCGATCGAAACGTCGTAGTTTTTGTTATTTTCTTTGAACCTATCTACGTGCCTTTACCAAAAGACCCAAATAATGTGAATTCCTGCAGTCACGAAAGCTTTAAGTCAAGGACGTCACCTGTTCATGATTATTAATGAGCGGGGCTGTTCGATGTGGAGTGACGTCACTTTCTCATCATTAATGATGGGGGTGGTTCTCCATGCGGAGTGACGTCACCTGCTCATGATTATTAATGAGGGGGGTGGTTCTCCATGCGGAGTGACGTCACCTGCTCATGATTATTAATTAGGGGGGGGTCCATGTGGAGGACGTCACCTGTTCATGATTATTAATGAGCGGGGCTGTTCGATGTGGAGTGACGTCACTTGCTCATGATCATTAATGAGGGGGGTGGTTCTCCATGCGGAGTGACGTCACCTGTTCATGATTATTAATGAGGGGGCTGGTCGACGTGGAATGACGTCACGCGCGGGACACACGGACATTCTTCTCACGCACAGCGCACATGTTCACACATTGCCGCATGCATCTAGCCGTCCGCCCGTTGAGGACGCCAGTCATACGGACGCCTAGGTGGTGAATAAATATAATTTACGTTGACGTGACAGTGTTCGGGGGCGAGCGGCTGACTGGCAATTCAGTGTCAGGGGTTTCGTGTTGAGATTGAATTAAAAGTAAAGAGTGTAGACATACATACACAAGAATTGGAGAGCGACTCAGTATCATTTAGTGCAACAAGGGCGGAAATCGGACCGAGGAATGCAACTATATTTTTCCCCATGAGGTCCATTAGTTGATCCTCATGGCGGTACCCCGGGGTACCAAATAATACAAAATGTCCGAGGAAATCTAATATTTTATTTCTGGGACACTATTTTTTTCAGGGATGTAGTTAACCCCGCGACTGGGGTACCAATCAATCCGATATCAGTGCTACTCCGCGATGTCGAAAAGCCAAACATCAGCATGAAAAAATACGTTATCGAAAATAATTACTTTGGATAGTACATCGTGTACAGCTCGTCGAGATGAGTCGATTGCCGCATCGCCTACCATCAACTGACTAAAAATGACCGCATCACGGACATTATGCGAGAGCCGGCGTACCGAATAGAACCAAAGAGTACCGCAATAAGGTTCAAATATCAAACGCGGTTTCGCCCAACGCGACATTTTCCAGGAACATAAATCCCCGCGTTCGGCGAATGTTTTCATGCAGGATACTTGTTTTTAAGTGGAGGTGGGGTGGGGGGTGTGGTGTCAGTGTGGCCAATGAGTACAGGTCGCTGCCCCAACACTGGACCTCTACATTTAAAACTTTCCCCAACTTATTTGTGTCCATATGGGAAAATAATTGCTCCTCACCACCAATGTCAGTACCTCATATTCACTGTATGATAATCAAATCTGTAAATGACAACAACAACAAAAACCCACCGTCATAACAGAAAAAATAGTGCAGGTCGGAAAACCAAAATGTTCAAAGAACACACCAACACGTGCACAAAAGGCTCTCGGCCTCTGCGCGTTCCGTAACAAACCACCACTATTTACCGGACGATCCTGCCCTTTCCCTCTGCTTCGTGGCCTCATACTTTTCACTGCCGGTCTCTGACGAGGAAAACCCTCCTCCTCTTCTTTTGGTCGTCTTGATGCACACCATTCTCGTTCCTTTGCATTTCCTCGAGATGCTGTCACAGTGGGGTCCTTTATACGTAAATACAAATTGCATTTTATGGAATGCGACTTTCATGATTCCAACCCTGAGTCAGAGAAGGGACTGCAAAACATTTTTGCTGACATTTGCAGGCCAACGTTTACTCACAACAAACCAACAAGCCATATTTGCTCCGATCGTTGCGTTCAATAAGTTCAGAGATAAAATTACATATTAACCAGAATAATGAAAGTTAGCTTTACTTACATTCATGTGCCTCTGTTTCTTTTGAAGTATTGCATGGGGGGTATACAATAATTAATTACAAATGGGGAATTGTGAATACAGTATACATATGTTTTACACGTGAAATATATTGATATTTATTATGCTCGTGTGCGGAATTAGTTGAATTCTCTGCATGTATGGGCATACCCTAATGATTATACACAGTGCAAATAAATGATTGTGTGCTGAACATAAACTACACATTTAGTTTTTGGTGATTGTGAAATTTTTGTGATGCTGTAAGACAAAAAAATATTCCCATAATACAGCAGTAGAGTCTTTTTTTTATCCAAATGTTGTTGTGCAGGCAAGATTGCACGTCTAGCTACATGATGAGTTTGTTGGCTTGTACTGCCTGTGCGGCATTGATGTCCAACGTTTTACTCCATGTTACTTCGAGCTTCCTCAGGAAGTGACTTCTTTCTGAACAAGCTTCCAACACGTGGAGCGAAACGTCGGACATCAGGCAGCTCAAAATGTTGTACAACCTGAAAACGCCGGAGAGCTATACTGCAAAACCACAAAAAAATCTACTTCATTGGAAAAAAAAAATGGCAAATCTGTCGGTTAAAGACGGACTCCGCTTACTTTCCTTTTCTCGTGAGCTAAGCACCTGGCTGAGCAATCTTTTTCTCCTTTCTCCAAATTATCCTTGTACTCCTACTGCTAATGCATGTGACCGGCGGTGGGTCGTCGCGACCTCCACAACAGCCAGCTACGAGCAGCGGCGTCACATGTGATCTGGAGCTCGAAACCCGAGCTACCACAGCCGGGAAGGTGGTGGTGGATACGACGATCAGCGGCCTCCGCCAGGATCGTTCCTACCTGAGCCCGTGGTACACCTGAATAGTGAGCTGAAGGACCAGTTGTGCTCGAGCCAGGTCGTTCATCTGACAGACATGCCCAAATAATGTTCCAATTGTGATATCCATGTCGTGCGATGAGACGAAATTTATATTTGGAGCCCTCACGGCAAGCAGTGCACGACATTGTCTCAATGAAAGGTGCTGGAAGTTGACAACATTACTACTTCCGAAGTCACTTCATCCACACATCCACAGCTTCTATATTCCATCTCATGAGTGTTTGTTTCATATCAAACTTATTTTCTATTTCAGACCTGCCATAAAACTCACGATGCCAGAGAAGACATTTTAATCATGTGTGACTGCTCAGATTGGAACCCGGGATCTCAATCGTGCCAGCTGAAATCTCGAACGTGGTGTTAGCACCCAGAGCCACCCAGCCACCTCCACCGCGTTAAACTTTATACACTGCAGGCAAGGCAGAGCAGGCCCTCCCGTTTTCTGTGAAGCATGGCAGATGCGTGTCTTGTAACAGCAGACCTTCCATGAGGAGTGCATGCGGACAGACAAGAATTAACATAATTTTAACATTATTTAGGGGCACGATCCAGTTGACACGTGTTGCTGTTCATCAGCGATAGCTCAGTGAGGTTCGCTTCAGCATAGGGCCATTTTTCCCGAAATTAACGAATTGCCGGTATTAAATATATATCAACTCTTA